GTTCTCTAACTTCATTCAATGAAACCACCTTCAGCATGTGGGGATTCCTCTGGTCTCCCTTCCCCGATGGCTGTGATAACGGCCGCGGGTCGGAACGCTCGGCCTTCTTCGCCGTGAGCTCCGACCTGTTCGTGAGGCGGAGGGCCGCCTGGCTTGGGGGGCTCTCCTCTCACTCTCCCGGGGGGACCTCTTTCCATCCCCCCGCTCGGATGCGGATCACTGCTGACAGGCGAGGAGGTTTCACCTCTTGTTTTCCCGCTTTCGGGAAAGGGACTCGTCCGGGTGACCGCGAAAGAGATCGGACGTGCGTCGGCGACTTCTCCGATGCTTCCCCGGTCTTGGCTCTCCAGACCCCCGCGTCTGGCCAGGTAAGGACCTTTTCTTACCTTGCCGGCGCGGGGGGCATTTTGGATGGGGACATTGCAGTTCATTTTAAGAGTGTTCTAATAAATGCTCTTGGACTCTGTCCTTACTCTGGTACGTGTGTCTTCTCTTCCGCTATATTCGAGAGAGCGAGACAAGGTAGACGATCATTGGCACCGACGGAGGTAATTAATCGAACCGACCCGCGGTAATGTGGCCCTAAACGTCGTCTACATTGCCGCGGAGATGTGGGGACCGCGCTACTAGGTTTGACGTCTCCTTTGCGATATCGCCGCTGTTGAGACAACGCTTTGGTTACTCTATCGGTGCCTGTGTTAGTAGCAACATCCCACAAGCGGCAATGACCGACATGATGCAGGTTCGAGATTTACCGCGTGCACCATCAGGTGGTCCTTGTTGATGTCGACCATAGCACCCACAATGGCAGCCTTTAACTCTTGACGACGACCCAGACATAGTAGTCCGGGGGGTTTACATCTGGGAAGTTGGAAGGCCGCGTGTTGGGGGCGACATGGCCGTGGAGGTAGTCAGCCAGCCAATCTTGGGTTGCATGGGTCGTGTGGCATGGAGCACTCTTGTTGAAAAATCTATGACCTCCTCTGGGCCACCCCTTCTATTCAAGGTTTTACTACAGTGCCCAGAGTCTCGATGTAGGCTTCGAGTTGACCCTAAGGCTTTGTTGGAAGAAGTACAGCGGTACGACTTGGCCCTCGTTACTCACAACGGCTAGGGCCAAGCTGCGGCTCTCGAGCCGCAGCTTGGCCACCCCTGCAGTGTATGATTGGCCTAAGCCGTTTTGGAGCACCTTTTGGAGCAGCCAAAACAGTGTTTTGGAGCAGCAAAAGTGGCTTTTGGAGCAGCCAAAACAGTGTTTTAGAGCAGCAAAAGTGGCTTTTGGAGCAGCCAAAACAGTGTTTAAGAGCACCAAAAGTAACTTTCAGAGCAGATATTCTTAGAAAAAAAAAAAACTATATGTGTTTTAGGTGCTGGACAAACGAAGACCACTTTGCTCACCGAAATGAATGAATTATGGTCAAGTTCGACCACCTAGGAGTCTTTTAAGAAGTAACTGAAATGTCAATGACATGACAGATTTTGCAATGCTTCAGTTAAATGATACATATATATGTACCCACTATAGATAGATAAGAACCAAACTTCACATATTCAAATTTATTTGAAAACCAAAATTCACATATTAAAATTTATTTGAAAATGACCAGCTTAGTAGTAAATATCACAGCATTAGGTTGACTAGTGATATAGTATAATAAATGGAAGCAGTCCCCGACTGATGAAACACATAGCTACTGCAGTGCAATGCGAAATTGCACACAAGAAAAAGGTGCATTACAACTAGCGGGTACTTTTTGCTTTTCAAAACTTTCTGCAAAGCTGCTGCAAGCTTCGCTTTGGCTTAGGCTAGTAATGAATGTCCCCTTTCAATGCCTCCAAAGAGACATTGAGACATCCCAGAAGTGTACAGTGCGGTAGGCGTTGCCGAGCAATTCTGAAAAACCGCTTGTCACCATTTTACTGGTTTCCGACGTGCCAGATTTTCGTCAAAAGTAAACGTGAAACAGTGGATTGCAAGCGTCCCGGCTGGTGCCTCTGTCGTGCAATCATGTTCGCAGGCACGTCAGGGCAACTTCGGCAGGCTTGCAGCTGCACGTGCTTCGTCGCGCGAGCGGAGACGGCTGTTTGATCGAAACCAAAACCATGCCTCCCCGCTCCGCCGCCAACTGGTTTCCAAAAATGTATGTAAAATGTAACTGCCCAGCATGCGACAAAAAACAGCCCAGCGACGCGTGCTTGCAAGGCCGGCAGGCGAGGTACAAGCTAAACATACAGAGAAAAAGAACCTGAGCGCATCGATGCAGGACAAGTCAGGGTCAAAACATTCTTGGAGTGCTTTGTGCAACGACTGAACTCGAGACAAACAAGCACGCAGTGCGGGTTCAGCGTGCAGACATTACCTTTTTTTCTTTAGCTCACTTCTGTTCACAAACTTTTTTTGAGCGACAGATTTTTCATGTACTGGGGTCCCTCGAAAGAAAGCCACCCAAGAGAAACCTAGGTAATCAATACTTCCACACAGCAGTCTTTGAGTTAAAAAGGGATTTTTGTAGTAGCGTATGTTTTAAACAAGAACAGGAATGTTGATGAACATGCGGCGGTCCTTATATTTCAGTTTAGGAAGCTCCATATCTGTAGCGATGTGCGGACTGGCAGGCGAAAGGCCAAATATAGTTTTCCCACGGCCGTTGCTTTCAGAAGCGAGTGTTTCAAGCTCAACAAGTAACTCCCGCCGCGCAAAAACGTAATTTCGTTTCACAGTGTGACGGCATGGCTGGTACCCAGCACGTTAGCGTCGGAGCGTCCGCACACGTCCGCACATATCGTTAAAAAAAAAAAAAAAAAAGCGAGACAAGATTTACGAGATGACGAGGGCGCGAAAGAAGAGACGGCGGGAAAAACCATGCGCGACCGGATGGACGATTGATGTAACTAAAGCAAGTGTGCAGGCGAGCTGGTTCAATACTGACATTGGAGTTTAGTGCCTGTCCTACGTCCATTCTTTTCCCCGGCTCCAGTGTTACAATGTCACAATTGATGCAGGGTACTTGTGTCGGGTTGCCGCTTGCGCCACCTAGCTCACGCATGCTCTATTACGGTACTCAGTTTAGTTTCGGTTTTGAAAGGCGACTAAAACTGATCCTTTGGTGCAGATTACTCATATTTTGGCAAAATGTAGCAGGATGTAGCAGGGTTAGCCCTTTGGCGCAGTTTGGCGCAATTGGCGCAGCAATCACATCACTGCCCCTGCACTAGATAGATAGAGCCCGGCGCGGATAACATTTTGATTATCCGCATCCACAGACTTCGTATCCACATCCAGCCGCATCCGCAAACTTTTTACATTATTACATCCATATCCAATCCGCATCTGCATACATTATCCCCATCCGTATCCGAACCCCATGTGCAAAATCTGCAACCAGATTTGACTCACAATCCAGGCATTCATTGTATATCATAACATCAAGCGAGAATAAAAAAAAAAAAATAGAAAAAGCACTTTTTAAGTTGTTTGCTTATCTTTGTACAAAGAAATCTTCGGATCACCATTCAAAGGGGATGTCATTTTATCATTATCAGTTTCATTGTATTTATATTAAAAGCGATCAGCCTTCCCGAGACACTGCGCGTCGAAGGAAAAATTATCTCAGTTGTGTGATTGTCCTAGGAGTCCACGACACTTTGCCCAGAAGTGCAGAAAAAGGATGTCGATGCACTTCTTTGTTTTTGGACTCATGACCACACTACTCTTTGCAAAGAGGAGGACATTTCTTCTACTTTCTTGTGACTTGTATGTTTGAGGTTTTCTTTGCCCGGAGAAAGTTTACACTCTTTCCCTGCCAATGTACTAGCTTTATCGGGACGATTGATGCCCTGCAATCTTTACTTTTTCTATAGATAGCATTTTTGACGAGAGGAAATGCACTAACTGAAGCGATCTTCAGTGAGAATCAGATCTTTCTCAGGATCCCTATTGTTTCTTCGAAATGCGTTTTGTGGAAATATGTTTCATGGACAACTTTTCACGGATATACATTTCACGGACACACGGTTCGTCGACGTTGTACGTTTTGTGGGCACATGCCCCTGCAACATTTTGTTAACAATGCATTTCTTCACTAAGCTGCTAAGAGCTAGCGTGCGATCCACTATGGTGAGCTTAACCAAACCATACCCTCCTCTCCCTTGTAATCCAGGCGAGAAGCAAAATGTTTGTTACAAAAATAGCTGGGTTGCGCACAAAGAAACGTCTCAGGTTTTTCGATGAGACGAACACGAGAAGCCTTTCGATCAAACGTCGCATGTCAACGAAACGATCTGTAGACGAAACGTCAGTCGACGAACTGAATGCCACCCGGCAAAAATTTAGATCCGAATCCGCGGACATCCGCATCCGCAACCTGCCAAAATTTGTCTAATTTTTATCCGCATCCGCCACTTTCCTGCGGATATCTAAAGATATCCATGGGTAATCTGCGGATGTGCAGGGCTCTATAGATAGACGACATAGATACGGGCGAAGGCGAAGTCAAGCATCTAGAGAGATGTAGTAAGAGTATGAGAAGTTATGCACCCTGAAGTAATGTTCTCAAATGCCTTTCACACCCTGCACTTTTGCACAATTGTGGCGCGTTAGCCCCGTTGAGTGTGCTTCTTGCAGAGCACCAATGCATTGAGGAGAAGCAATACTAACAAAGCCCGCAAGCTCCGGAAGTATTGCTTCCCGCAGTGCAAAGGTGTTCAGCGAGAAGAGCACTTAACGGGGCTAACCCGCAGAGATGAGCACTTCGAAAAGTATGAATATCGCAGTTCAGCTCGAAGCGAACAGCGAATAGCACATTATTCTAAACAACTATTAGGAAGTTTGAATATTCACACAACACTAAAAAAAAGTGCGTAAAAATTATTATACTAAATGTGCCCTTGCAAACTGGCAGTGAATTCAAACGCTCTTGGTACCCGCCACTAGTATATCCCGTGAGCCTGCAGGCAGAAACGAGAAAAGTCATGCAGTGAAGAAAATGGGCAAGCCTTGCCTCTTTGTTCTGGGGCGACAAGGGCTCCTTCAGAGGGGGGCTGTGGCTCCGCGGCCTCGGGATGGGAGCAGGGTGGGAAGGAGCCTGATGTCCGCTCGCATCTACCACTGCGCAGGCGGAGAGAAGTTGCATGGAGATCCCATTCTGGTTGCTGCGAAATCTTATTTACTTTTTGCAGACCAAGCCAAGATATCATTTGCAGACGGTTCGTCAGAGAATGCAAGCAAAGAATGGGGTCTGTCCGTTACGGAGCACCCTTCGTAGACGAAAATGAAGTTAAAAAACACCGTACATTGTATAACACACCAAGAAAAAAAAAAGAAGAAACAAATGAAGAAATGGATTGCCCGTCACAAATCGAGTGGCACAATGCAGTGAAATTGGACGCAGGCTGAAATCGTGCTTGCCTGCTACTATTTGATGTTAGAAGCGACTGACAACCTGTGCTTTGCAAATCTCAAATTGTTTCGCTGCCGCACATGAACCAAGATCAACCGATAGATTGAAGAACACTACAAACACACCAGAGGCAAAAAGACATCTCCGCCATTCAACCTTTAGCGTAAAGTTTTGACAAAAAACACTGTCCGGTCATGGACACACGAATCGGTAAAAAATTTCTCACTGGTCGATAACCAGCGCCCAGCAGAAAGTTGTTCGCTCCACGTCAAATCAACAGCCCAGGAAGCTCTCGGGCCTCACTGGAACCAAAATCTTAAGCACGTCTCTATCATATCTGATAAACTCTGACACATACTCTGTGTGCTGCCATGCGATGTCATGAGGTCACGGGACTCTGACATTACGCAATGTCAAGGTTATAAGATTGCAGTCAAGGTCACATAAGGACATAACATCAAGGCCATATGAGCAATATAGCCCCTATGGAACTGCGTTGCTTATGTGACCTTGGCTCCCGTGTCCGTCGAGCCTAACGGTCAAGCATAACGCGTCGCTTTTCTCACGAAACTCGGCCCTGTAACGCATTTTGAGTTAAAATCAGACCCTGGGGATCGCACGAGGGGGGGCCGAACCAGACCTACCGTCCACGGGTTTTTGGGGCAGCTTGGGCACGAGGGACGGGGGCAGCACTTCGGGGAGCTCGATGCTGTTTCTCCTCAGGACCACAAGGTGCATGGCCGTGCGGAATTCCTCGATGCTCAGGGCACCATCCTTGTCAATGTCCGACAGTTGCCTGCGGCAGAGGAGGACACGACAGGCATTCTTACACCTTCCTCAATGTTGCGCGATTGTGCCGGGGACCCCAAAAACGAGATGGCAGATCGTCGCCGACGGTGGAAACTAGAAATGGCGGATTGGACTCTAAAGAGTAGATTTACCAAGTAGACGGCTGGAGACAAAGACATGTTACATCGTCAGATCTGAACCACAGGAGCCCCCCTCCCCTTCCTAGCGTTCCTCCGCAGTTCGTCCCATGTTCTAGTGTTGAACACCTGCTTCTGCCATCTTCTGTCAGACAAGCATGTACGAGGCCAATGGCGAAACAAAGAAAGGAAAAGAAATAAAAGCGATACAGCCAGGTCACACGAGGTACTATCGAGGAAAAATGAAACGCAAACAAAAGAGCGCACGGCTCGCAGTACAAGCGGCGTAGCCTGTACTGCGAGCCACGCGCTCCTCTGTTCACATTTCATTTTTCCCCGATAGTACATTGAAGATCCTCACTGCCAAACGAAGCCTGTTTCAACAAAATATTTTCTGTTTGCTGAAAGAAGCAAAACAATTTGTTTCACAATCAGCAAATAGTGAACAGCCCAGACAATCACACATTAAGTTTTGAATGAGCGTCTAGAAAGTAGGCGTGCAAAAGAATAAATGCTGTGAAATGAATCCCATTACAAAATGTAAAATAGCTTAAAACTCAAAATTAGAAAAATAACCTTTTAGATATTTTTGCTTTGTAGCAAAACGAAAAGTGCCTTGAAACAGCAATGAAAAACAAAAAATCGAGATAGATATGGCATTCTAGGATGAACATTTCTAGCGGGTTCAACTGTCAGGAAACCGCACAAATTTATACAAAAAAAGAGACTTACCAGATTTTAGACAATTCATGCACTGGTAACTTGGACTTCTCAAAGAACTCCTTGGCTATTGCACCTGAAAATATTTAACAAATAGTTATTTAATAATTTTTGCACAAAGCACCGAAGACCGTATCCAACCCTGCTGTTTCTAACCAAAACACACTGCAATTATTTTTGTGCTGCACTTCATGCATTCCCATAATGCTACGACATTGACAAAACTTTGTTTAAATTTCTCACTTATTGCAAATTAAACTTTAAAGTTTGCGGGCAACCCTGTCCAACGCTTTAGTTCCCCAGGTCTCCCAGGTAGCAGCGAGGGAATTCCCACAGGTTCTACTAGTACATGTTTATGAAATTTAAGTTAACCTTTACAGATTTTACAGCTTGCTCTACTATATGAACGAGCAGACTCAGACACACCAGACCGTTACACTTTTTTTCGATTTGACAGTCGGCGGAGACACCCACCAAAGAGATTGTTGCAACAGCTACAAGCTCCTATATGGGAGGGTTAAACTCACAAACCAACCAAAAGAAACAGAACAAATCCATCAGATTGTGCCTAGGCACTCGCACCTTCATGCGAGACTCCTTACATATGGTGTGCTGCCACGTTTATTGCACTCTAATTTTCGTTTTACTCCTACGTTAGCTTTGAACAGAGCAGGCAGTATCCCAAAATAAATAGTGACAATGTAATGATAAGCTCACCAGTGATCTTTCCACGGAGGTCGGGCTGCATGGCTTGAAACTGGTTAGTGTAGTAGTCCCTCTGGTCATCAGCAATGCTCCAAATGTCATGTTCCTCATCACTAGAGTGACGGTCACTGCTGTCTTCTTCGTTGCCCAGTAGCTGCCGATGCTCTTCGAAGTGACTCCAGTTTAGCTGCCTCTCCCCTGCGAGCACAAACAACGATGGCCCCTTCACACTGTCGCCTCTCAAGCCTCCGGTGCCAGAGTGTCCTTGCTGAACCCCTGAAATCGGGGGTCAGCCACCCAAAAAACTTTCCGGCAACGCGTATGGTAGGGCTCGGATTCTTCAGCTTGAATTCAAGTGACATGAAGGACTATGGCAACCTACATTATGTACGATGGGCAAGAAGTCACCGATTCAGAGGTCAATCAATGACGACAATCCAGAAGTGGCAAATAAAGCCTACAAGGTGTCACAAATAATTTGCACAAAACTAAAAAAGAAAAAAAAAATCTGAGCACTTTCTGGGACTGAAAGCAACTGTATATTGTTAGCAAGCATCTTACGGAAGTGCAATAACCTTTTATAGCATGCCTAGTTATTTATTAAATTAAGATTAATCAGCTAACATCTTAATTATTTGTTTAAGGGCAGAGGTACAAATGGGAAAATTGTAGAGCATATTGCAAAACACCCATGAAGGTGTTTGCTACATGACACATTTTGCATGCTTCTTTTAATTAGCCTAAAAAAAAGCCCGCAAAATATTTAAAAGAAAAGTTCAGTCTTTCCACTCTCGTGAAGAAGGAAGACGAGCGGAGCTGTACTCGATACACTGCCGCAACGCGCACGCGCCCGTTTCTTCTCGTTCGACACGCCGCCGGTCGTGGATACGTCACCGGCGAACCAGAGTCGGTCGCACATGGCACGCGAGACACTGAACGGGTAATCTACAAACTCCCTCCGGAACCTCGCCATCACACCCGAGAACTGTTCAGCCGGCGTGGAGTGCAGTCGTCACCGGGCCTCGCGCTTGCGCTTGGCCTCCGTGGTACGATCATCCTCTGTGGCGTTGGCCCGCCGGCGCCCTTTACATCGCTGGCTCTGTTCTCGGCGGAGGCTTTCCAGGCGAGTGATGTGCTCTTCTTTGGCAAGGAAATCTGAAGCGCTCGACGCAGTGGAAGTCGAGGCGACAGCGGCTTTGCGCCGGTTGCGGGCCCATTCCCACTGCTGCGTACGTCGCCGCTCCTTCCGCAGCCAGTCTTCTTTCCCCAAAAGGGCAAGCGGCCGACCCATCCTAAGTCCAAACCGAAACTGATAAAAGCGTAGGAAACAGCGCGCAAAACAGACGAGGACGAAGAAACACACCTGACGAGCGCTGCGCTCGTTACGTGTGCTTCTTCTTTGTTGTCGTCTGTTTTTCGTGCTGTTTCCTACGATAAATTCCCACCAACGCGCCCTACTATTCATACTTCCGTGATAGCTGGAAAGGTTGCCGCCATCTACGAGCGACGGCGGCAACCATACTGGTTGTGTGCTTGCCGCCGTCGCTTATAGATGGCGGTAGCTGTCCAAGTAGGTTTGTGTCGACAGGCGCTTGATACCGGACACGATCCTGGGGAACCTATGCCTTAACAGCTCTGCTGTTAAAAAGAAAACATAAGACAAAGCGCCTGCACTGAGTGCTTGCAGCGCTTCCAGACATGCTCAGACATGCGGACAGCGCGCCAGCGATTAGATGAAGTTCGTTCTTTCAGAGCACATCCAAGAACGCTGCGAGCGCGATGCGTTGTCACATGACCTTTTTATATTTCATGGGCTTTCTTTTTAGCATAACTAAAGGAAGCGTGCAACACATACAGACAGTGATAGTAGCAGCATTTGACCCTTTGTAGCAGTTTTGTAGCATGCAAAATGTTGGTTTGGAGCGCTCACTGACACTTTTGGAGCAGATGACATATGTTAGCACATCACTTGAAAATGCCAAATGATTGCATATATAGCAAAATGAGTTCATCTTTGATAATGATTGAAGCTTCCTTTTTAATACTAAAGCATACATTACTGATTAACTTTTTGTTATAAGAATAGATAAGACACAAAAGGGACACAGCCTTTTTTTAAAGAAATTAATGCTCAGGTCAGAGCAGATTCCACCTACAATGGGTATTTAAAAAATTGTTAAAAAAATTAAGCACATCTCAACACTTCAGTTGAGACAGAGCCTCTCCCCCCTTAGCCCTTTTAGACTGTAATTTATTAAACCTGCATATAAATTCTGTAAAATGGCGACAAAAACCCAACATATCTACTAAAGTATGTCTATCAATAAAAATATGTCACCACAAGTTTTATAAGCCTTTCAAACTTATTATTCTAGTAATATAAACTGCAAAATCAACCACCCACAATATTATGAAAACCTACAGTAGTGTTTTAAAAGTGATACTGAACTATAGCGGCATTGGAACCAGAGTTGTGTCAAAGTTTGCTGCCCATGACTGCTGCTTGGGAACTACCATATTTATTCATGTATAGACCCGCCCTTTGTTGCCCCTTTTTGGGCACAGCTTTCTAAATTTAGAGCCCAACCCACAATCAAGAACAAAGAGGGTTGACCTGTAATAGTACTGAGCACAATTTCCGGGTCAATGGCGCTAACCCAGGCGCTCTTCCTCGTCAAGTGCTTCTCCTAGCACTCCGATGCAAAGAGATGAAGCTCGACGCATGAGCACTGGTGTGAGCCGGTGAAGGTTTACGCAAGCGGCGAAGTGTAACAGGACACCTTGACTGTAGCCACGGCATAGAGGCATGTGGCAGACACGATAATCAAGTGATCTCGTCAAGAGTAGAAGACCCCGATTCTGTTCTATCACAATAGCTGCCATCCCACTATTTTGCAAAATGTTATCGCAGTCTTTAGCACCTGTCATTGCTGACATTGTTTTTAAATTCCGACGATGTCAGGGCCAGTGCAGTTGACAAACGATTTGCAGAGTTTGTTTTGTTTAAAGTCGATGCGCAGCCAACGCTACGACCCAATGGATCGCAAAGAGAGTCAAGAGCGCAACATTGTGACATTTGTCGTCTTTCCATACGTGTTCTTTCATTGGCTAAATCAATTAGCGCAGCGAATGCTCTGTGATTTGAACTTTTAATATGCGGGTTCGTGGTTGTACGTGTTCTAACATTCGACTGTGCTTCGAACCAAAGTGAAACAAAATATTTCGCTAGTAGAGACACTGTCAAATACATAGTATTTGTACCTTTTTCCTTTCCTTCTACTTCTCTAAATATTAGGATCAACCAATTAATTTTGCCACAAGATGCAGCAAGCTTTAGTTCATGTCACAATTTGGCACAAATGGCAAAAAAACTTCCATTACTGCAAACACCTTAATTTGGTGTTTCTCATTTCCAGTTCACACCTCGGCCCTTAAACAAACAATTAATTACTCTTGCGATCTTTCGAGGGAGGGTGCCCTTACAGGATTTTATGGGAAGATATACACTCTGTGCGACACGACTGGCGCGCCGCCGCGCGGCCGGTACCGAAGGTAGGCAGTGAGGACCCCCGAGAAACGAAACCGAAACCACGCCGCGTACGTTGGTATGCACTGAAGTTGGAGCGGTGCGGTTGCACTGGGTTCACAGTCTAAAGTGCTGCCGGTGCTGCGTCGTTAAGTACTTCAATAGTTATGCGTCGTATCTAGTGGGGACAAAGTTTCACAGTTTTTCACCTCGCCGATGTTTTGTGCGACAACGATGGACCCGTGCCATTATGACGCGAGAAATTTGGCCTCCCGATCATGTCTGCCACTGTATCGGCACAGCTGACATATTCTACACTGCCGCTTTGCGCTCTGCGTTTGTTTTCGTACCAGTAACGCCTACATGTGTTAGCGCCAATGGGACGAACTGAAATGCCATCCCACACTCGCAGGTATGCAGTGCCAATTTCGTTGGAGGAATACCCTCCAAAGAAGTTTCGTCCCCATCGTACGAGTCGGTGATATTTCTGGACAGGTATGGCACGCAATCTGTACTTCATAAAGAAGGATTCAAACGGAAAAAAAAGAAAGACAAATATGAATTTAAGGAAAACTACAATGAAACTCGGAATCACTGGAGAATCGACAATTGAGTATCGAAGTTTATGTGGTGTGCTCTCTTTTTTGATCGGCCTCCTTTTGGATGTGGAAACGTTGGCACCCTGAGTTCTGTAGAAAACATTTTTTTCTCTCGGCTTTAGAGCCACCTATCGCAAAGTTGTTCGAACTGGAAGTACCATCCACTGGTCCCTTCCTATCTGTAAAGTGTGCACCACCCACGAGTGGTATTTTCTTGACAGCCTTTAACAGTCAAAACCAGTTCCCATTTAGTTACGCCGCCCAAACTAAATTTCCACCTGGTTTCGCTATGCCACCTCTTTTTGGTATAATATGTGTTGTGTCAAGTTACGGTCATGTCAAAATACCTGTGTGCCGAAAATCAGCACCTGACAGAACAAGTTATTACACAACAGCTGACCGCAAAAGCCTTTGACGGCCAAACCGTGCGTTCGCCGACAACTTTGTTTTCTCGGCTTTGGAACTACCTTTCGTAAAGTTGTTTCAATTGGAAGTACAGTAGGCATGTGCGAATATTCGATTTTTCCGAATATTCGAACGAAGAGTACATTATTCGGTATTCGCTTCGATCCGAATTCCGATATTGGAAAAAGTTCGAAGTATTCGGCACTGACGAATAGCGGAAGAAAGGCCGATTGTATCTGGTAGTTTCGGTTTCGGTTGTTACTCACGAAAGCCGCATCGGCATCAAGAAATAAACAAAATATCCAATCCAATCCAAGACATGCTAAACCGATCAGAAAATCGTGCGTCGCAGCCGTCGCAGCTCCACAAAGGATTCCGAAGTGAGCTCGTTCTAGGTGCTGCGTGTTCGTTCGTATGGCTGACGGGTCATCGACGGCAGCCGGGAACGATGAAAGTGGAGCCGATGTGTATTGAAATCCGATATGGAACTACTTCTTGAAAGTGCCACCGGGAAATGAAGCTTGGTGCCTCTAATGCAAGGCAGTGCTGAAAACTCCAACGGGTATGACAACGACCCTCGCAACGCACCTGAAAAGGCACCCTGATTCGTACAAGACTTTCGAATGTGAGCGTCAAGCACGCGGGAGTGCCGCCAAACACAAGAACGG